CTGCGACCCCACAGGGAACCGCTAAATTCTCGTCCGTGGGGACTCCCCTCACTCCCCACGCCCCCGTGGGGACCCCAAAACCTCCCCAGAGCTGCCCCAGCCGCCCGTACGTGGCTCTTGAGCGCTGCCCGCTGCACCGGGCGCCTCTGGCGGAAAAAAGCCGGGGCCCAAGCCCCGCTCAGCGTCCTCCAGGCCGCCTCCAGGTCCCGGCGCTGCCGGAAGGCCTCGATGGCCGCTCTCAGCTGGGCCCGGCGTCTCAGGGCGGGCAGGGGGCTGTGAGGGGGACAGAGACTCCGTGACCCGGCCGCGTCCCGCGGTCCTCACGGGGGGTCCCGTATCCGCCCCCTCACGGCCCCGGTGCCTCCCGGTTCCCCCTTCCCCGCGGTCTCGGTGCCCCCCCCGGTGCTGCCCACCCTTACCTGACCCCCATCTTGTGCGTGCGGAAGCCGAGCACCGAGTCCAGCACGAGGCTCGTGGCCAGGTCGTCGTTCTCGCAGAGCTCCCGCGCCGTCACCGCCGTCCCCGCCGCCCGCGGCCGCATGGGCTGCCGCCGCCTCCTCCGCCGCCGCCGCGCCTGCAGCACCGGGAGCGTCACCGGGGGTTCCACGGCGCGGGATCGCCAGCCCCGAGAGCCCCGTCCCGGCCGTACCGCAGCGCTGCGGGCGCGGGACCGGCCCGGGCCGCCGCCGGTACCGGGCTCGGCCCGGCGCCGCCGCCGCCGCCCGCCCGCTCCCGCCGCCCGCTCCGCCATCCCCATTGGCCGCCCGCCCCCCGCGCCGCCGCTCCTATTGGCCGCCCGCGGGCAGTCCCGCCTGCCCCGCTGAGGCGCTCGGCGATCTGATTGGTGGAGGAGGCTGCTCCACGCCATTGGTCCGCGGGGTTGAGAGCCTGCTATTGGTCCAGAGGGAGGCCGGTCACGCCGCTCTATCTCTTCATTGGATAAAACCGACACGGTCCCTCCCCTCTCCTTCTACTGGCTGAAGCCCACCGCCTTCCTCGCTTTCTATTGGCCCTCTCCTTTCCACGCTTTCCTCCCATTGGCCGAACGCGCTGTCACTCATCCCCCTCCGGCTCACAATGAGCTCAGCGTGTGGCCGGCCATAAACAATACACGCTTGGCCACGCCCACTTCCGCCGCCGGCCCGCGCCTCTTCCGCCATTTTCCCCCGCCCATCCCAAGATGGCGGCACCCAGGCACGCCGGGCCGTGTTAGGCTCTGCCCGCGCTCCCGGATCGCCCCTGAGGGGTCGCGGGGCGGCGTCTCCGGTTCTGTGACACAGCCATGGCGACACCGGCGGGCGGCGGATCCGGCGGGGCCCCGCGGGACCCTCCCCACACGCTGCAGGGGCTGCTGGAGATGGCGGTGGTGGCCGGCCAGGCTCAGCCCGAGCCCCGCGAGCCCATGGGCGAGGAGGTGAGGGGAGCTCGTCCGTGGGCTCGGGGCGGTGCCGAGGCGTTGATTTTGCGCTAATTCCGCTCGGTTTTCGGCCGCAGAGGCAGCAGTGGCTCCGCGCCGCCGTGTCCGAGGCTCTGGGCAATACCGGGGGCGATCACGGCGAGCTCCAGCGGTGCCTGGCGGTGCTGGCCCAGCCCTGCCCGGGAGAGGAGGCGGCCGAGAGGGGCCCGGGCGACACCGAGGCTCACGAGCAGGCCCTGGACGAGCTGGCCGAGCTGTGCGAGAGCCTGGACA